CCGCCAACTCACCACAACCATGGCCGCCAACTCACCACAACCAAGGCCGCCAACTCACCACAACCATGGCCGCCAACTCACCACAATAATGCCCCGCCAACTCACCACAATCATGCCCGCCAACTCACCACTACCATGGCCGCCAACTCACCACAACCATGGCCGCCAACTCACCACAACTATGCCCCACCAACTCACCACAACCATGGCCGCCAACTCACCACAACTATGCCCCACCAACTCACCACAACCATGGCCCGCCAACTCACCACAATCATGCCTGCCAACTCACCACTACCATGGCCGCCAACTCACCACAACCATGGCCGCCAACTCACCACAACCAAGGCCGTCAACTCACCACAACCATGGCCGCCAACTCACCACAACTATGCCCCACCAACTCACCACAACCTTGGCCCGCCAACTCACCACTACCATGGCCCGCCAGCTCACCACAACCAAGGCCGCCAACTCACCACAACCATGGCAGCCAACTCACCACAACCATGGCCCTCCAACTCACCACAACCATGGCCGCCAACTCACCACAACCATGACCCGCCAACTCACCACAACCATGACCCGCCAACTCACCACAACCATGGCCCGCCAACTCACCACAACCATGGCCGCCAACTCACCACAATCATGACCCGCCAACTCACCACAACCATGGCCGCCAACTCACCACAACCATGACCCGCCAACTCACCACAACCATGGCAGCCAACTCACCACAACCATGGCCGCCAACTCACCACAACCAAGGCCGCCAACTCACCACAACCATGGCCGCCAACTCACCACAATAATGCCCCGCCAACTCACCACAATCATGCCCGCCAACTCACCACTTCCATGGCCGTCAACTCACCACAACCATGGCCGCCAACTCACCACAACCATGGCCGCCAACTCACCACAACCATGGCAGCCAACTCACCACAACCATGGCCGCCAACTCACCACAACCATGGTAGCCAACTCACCACAACCATGGCCGCCAACTCACCACAACCATGGCCGCCAACTCACCACAACCAAGGCCGCCAACTCACCACAACCATGGCCGCCAACTCACCACAATAATGCCCCGCCAACTCACCACAATCATGCCCGCCAACTCACCACTACCATGGCCGCCAACTCACCACAACCATGGCCGCCAACTCACCACAACTATGCCCCACCAACTCACCACAACCATGGCCGCCAACTCACCACAACTATGCCCCACCAACTCACCACAACCATGGCCCGCCAACTCACCACAATCATGCCTGCCAACTCACCACTACCATGGCCGCCAACTCACCACAACCATGGCCGCCAACTCACCACAACCAAGGCCGTCAACTCACCACAACCATGGCCGCCAACTCACCACAACTATGCCCCACCAACTCACCACAACCTTGGCCCGCCAACTCACCACTACCATGGCCCGCCAGCTCACCACAACCAAGGCCGCCAATTCACCACAACCATGGCAGCCAACTCACCACAACCATGGCCCTCCAACTCACCACAACCATGGCCGCCAACTCACCACAACCATGACCCGCCAACTCACCACAACCATGACCCGCCAACTCACCACAACCATGGCCCGCCAACTCACCACAACCATGGCCGCCAACTCACCACAATCATGACCCGCCAACTCACCACAACCATGGCCGCCAACTCACCACAACCATGACCCGCCAACTCACCACAACCATGGCAGCCAACTCACCACAACCATGGCCCACCAACTCACCACAACCAAGGCCGCCAACTCACCACAACCATGGCAGCCTACTCACCACAACCATGGCCGCCAACTCACCACAACCATGGCAGCCAACTCACCACAACCATGGCCGCCAACTCACCACAACCAAGGCCGCCAACTCACCACAACCATGGCCGCCAACTCACCACAATAATGCCCCGCCAACTCACCACAATCATGCCCGCCAACTCACCACTTCCATGGCCGTCAACTCACCACAACCATGGCCGCCAACTCACCACAACCATGGCCGCCAACTCACCACAACCATGGCAGCCAACTCACCACAACCATGGCCGCCAACTCACCACAACCATGGTAGCCAACTCACCACAACCATGGCCGCCAACTCACCACAACCATGGCCGCCAACTCACCACAACCAAGGCCGCCAACTCACCACAACCATGGCCGCCAACTCACCACAATAATGCCCCGCCAACTCACCACAATCATGCCCGCCAACTCACCACTACCATGGCCGCCAACTCACCACAACCATGGCCGCCAACTCACCACAACTATGCCCCACCAACTCACCACAACCATGGCCGCCAACTCACCACAACTATGCCCCACCAACTCACCACAACCATGGCCCGCCAACTCACCACAATCATGCCTGCCAACTCACCACTACCATGGCCGCCAACTCACCACAACCATGGCCGCCAACTCACCACAACCAAGGCCGTCAACTCACCACAACCATGGCCGCCAACTCACCACAACTATGCCCCACCAACTCACCACAACCTTGGCCCGCCAACTCACCACTACCATGGCCCGCCAGCTCACCACAACCAAGGCCGCCAACTCACCACAACCATGGCAGCCAACTCACCACAACCATGGCCCTCCAACTCACCACAACCATGGCCGCCAACTCACCACAACCATGACCCGCCAACTCACCACAACCATGACCCGCCAACTCACCACAACCATGGCCCGCCAACTCACCACAACCATGGCCGCCAACTCACCACAATCATGACCCGCCAACTCACCACAACCATGGCCGCCAACTCACCACAACCATGACCCGCCAACTCACCACAACCATGGCAGCCAACTCACCACAACCATGGCCGCCAACTCACCACAACCAAGGCCGCCAACTCACCACAACCATGGCCGCCAACTCACCACAATAATGCCCCGCCAACTCACCACAATCATGCCCGCCAACTCACCACTTCCATGGCCGTCAACTCACCACAACCATGGCCGCCAACTCACCACAACCATGGCCGCCAACTCACCACAACCATGGCAGCCAACTCACCACAACCATGGCCGCCAACTCACCACAACCATGGTAGCCAACTCACCACAACCATGGCCGCCAACTCACCACAACCATGGCCGCCAACTCACCACAACCAAGGCCGCCAACTCACCACAACCATGGCCGCCAACTCACCACAATAATGCCCCGCCAACTCACCACAATCATGCCCGCCAACTCACCACTACCATGGCCGCCAACTCACCACAACCATGGCCGCCAACTCACCACAACAATGCCCCACCAACTCACCACAACCATGGCCGCCAACTCACCACAACTATGCCCCACCAACTCACCACAACCATGGCCCGCCAACTCACCACAATCATGCCTGCCAACTCACCACTACCATGGCCGCCAACTCACCACAACCATGGCCGCCAACTCACCACAACCAAGGCCGTCAACTCACCACAACCATGGCCGCCAACTCACCACAACTATGCCCCACCAACTCACCACAACCTTGGCCCGCCAACTCACCACTACCATGGCCCGCCAGCTCACCACAACCAAGGCCGCCAATTCACCACAACCATGGCAGCCAACTCACCACAACCATGGCCCTCCAACTCACCACAACCATGGCCGCCAACTCACCACAACCATGACCCGCCAACTCACCACAACCATGACCCGCCAACTCACCACAACCATGGCCCGCCAACTCACCACAACCATGGCCGCCAACTCACCACAATCATGACCCGCCAACTCACCACAACCATGGCCGCCAACTCACCACAACCATGACCCGCCAACTCACCACAACCATGGCAGCCAACTCACCACAACCATGGCCCACCAACTCACCACAACCATGGCCGCCAACTCACCACAACCATGACCCGCCAACTCACCACAACCATGACCCGCCAACTCACCACAACCATGGCCCGCCAACTCACCACAACCATGGCCCGCCAACTCACCACAACCATGGCCGCCAACTCACCACAACCATGGCCCGTCAACTCACCACAACCATGGCCGCCAACTCACCACAACCATGGCAGCCAACTCACCACAACCATGACCCGCCAACTCACCACAACCATGACCCGCCAACTCACCACAACCATGACCCGCCAACTCACCACAACCATGGCCCGCCAACTCACCACAACCATGGCCCGCCAACTCACCACAACCATGACCCACCAACTCACCACAACCATGGCCCACCAACTCACCACAACCATGGCCCACCAACTCACCACAACCATGGCAGCCAACTCACCACAACCATGGCAGCCAACTCACCACAACCATGGCCGCCAACTCACCACAACCATGGCCGCCAACTCACCACAACCATGGCCGCCAACTCACCACAACCATGGCCCACCAACTCACCACAACCATGGCCGCCAACTCACCACAACCATGGCAGCCAACTCACCACAACCATGGCCGCCAACTCACCACAACCATGGCCCACCAACTCACCACAACCATGGCAGCCAACTCACCACAACCATGGCAGCCAACTCACCACAACCATGGCAGCCAACTCACCACAACCATGGCAGCCAACTCACCACAACCATGGCCGCCAACTCACCACAACCATGGCCGCCAACTCACCACAACCATGGCCCACCAACTCACCACAACCATGGCCGCCAACTCACCACAACCATGGCAGCCAACTCACCACAACCATGGCCGCCAACTCACCACAACCATGGCCCACCAACTCACCACAACCATGGCCGCCAACTCACCACAACCATGGCCCACCAACTCACCACAACCATGGCCCGCCAACTCACCACAACCATGGCCCGCCAACTCACCACAACCATGGCCGCCAACTCACCACAACCATGGCCGCCAACTCACCACAACCATGACCCGCCAACTCACCACAACCATGGCCCACCAACTCACCACAACCATGGCCGCCAACTCACCACAACTCACCGGTCTTCCGTTGATCTCCCACATAATGTGAGCTCTGGGCTTGGCGCCTCTAGCCGTGCAGTTAATCTGGATAGTTTCACCCGCACGGTAGGTGGGCGGGTCCGGGTCGGCCCAGGAGTGTACCTCCACGGTCCTCGGCGGCACTGGGGATGGATAGGTGGGGGGGATGGGAGGTTAGGAGACCTTCTGCATGAATGGGTTGAAGTTTAGAGGACACGCATATGGCTCATTAAGAGAATTTAAGGCTAGGTGGCTGTAGAGCAAAGGTTTTAAAAGTGTCATTCATTATAGTTAAGGTAAGATTACACTAGCACTCTTGGCGTTTTTATGGCGTTAACGAGGCCCTATTGGTCTCGCATTTGATTAATTTGCCAGATGAATTTGTTAAAATATCTTAACTATTGAGCGTAGCCTCACCGTTTATTATAATGAAAAGCTGGTTATATTATTTAGATCATTGAGCTATAATCATGGGAGATTCCACAACAGGGGGATGCATAATAAATGCTAGTTTATTAATTTAGGTGTAACTTGATGTTTACGCCCCCCCCCCCCCCCCCTTTCCTCTCAAAAAATACATAAAGGTTTCAAGGTATAGGTCATAAATGGGAAATTAATCCCGGAATGGAATATCTCTGTGTCTGTGTGTTTGCTGTTGTTCATCTTGTTATTATGGCGTCAGAGCTTAATTGATGACCTATTCTGTACCTCTCTACAGCGTCCCTTTCAACTCCTCTCGCACCCTTTTCTCTATCGCTTCACACCCCGTTCTACACCCAATGGACATATTTTGTCCTACACTCAAACACAACCTTCTCTCTGCACCCACGCACCCGTGGGTGTGTGGGTGTAGAGAGGTTGAGTTTCTCAACCTGTGGTTGAATTTCCCAAAGTGCACTAAGTTTTGTGAATGTTTTCTTATTCTGTCTATGGTGGAAAGATAAAAATAACATATGCTGGTTAGCAATATTTCTGAAGTGTCATTTTAAAATCCTCCCTTAAATTATCATTTATGCTTGAGAGCTCAATAACCTGCGACAATTCAAGTAGTAAAGCAGGTCTTTAGCTCAGTTCTTAGAGGGCAAAACGAAAGTGCTTGCCGTCTAAGTGCTATTGTAACAGCATGGACACGTCAGTTGTCGACAAACTAATGTATCAATACCTCTCTCTATCTCTGTCTCTTTCTCTCAGTCATTTCTCAGTTTACACTTCCCACTCACACTCCAGCTCATATACCCTCCGGGCTCTACCCTCACCTCACACGTACATACCTCTCTCTAGTAGTAGGCATCCATCAGTCTCAGGAGACTATGGAGTTGCGCTCTGGTATCGTCCTGGTCTGGAGTGGCCTCACCAGGGCGCAAAGCCAGGGTAGGTTGATTCGGGGGAGAAGCTGTTACCCAGGCAGCAGGTCCTCCCTCTTCATGGCGCTGAAAGTCTCCAATGGAATGGCATACGCCAGTACGATTGGTTCCAGCGCCGTCGCAGGAACTGTGTGTTCCGAGGTTGACCTCGAAGTTAGTGAAAAAGGGCACAGGGACCTCCAACCCCGGAGACCGCCGTGGTCGGGGCCGGAGAAGAACTCCCTCATCGAGGGCAAGAACGACCCCAGCCTCCTGAAGCAGAGCCTGGCCCGCACGACCCTCAGGAGGTGGACGTTCCGGTCTCGCACCTACGAGATCCAGACAAAGATCGTCACAGCCCTCTTTCACCCGAGGCCGGCCTCCTTCAAGACCAAGTAGAAGGAAGAATCACTCACTCCTACCTCACTCTGTATACCTCTATAACTCCTACTCATATGCCTGTATTCCTATTGCCCCCCCCCCACTTATGTAATCCCCCCTCCCTCAATCTCTGCCACCACACACCCACCACTCACATACTCCCCTCTCCACTACTTCACACATTAATCTCTTTATTCCCATGCATTTCTGTGTTTCTAATACCAAAAACGTATCCTCCTCTGAAATAACAGGGATTTTTTTTTATCTCTCTTTAATACACACTCGACTTTTTCTCTGATGCTCTCCACTCTATTACACTCAACTCTTTCTCTCTCTATCATACTCAACTCACTGTCACACTCAATTCCCTCTATCACACACCACTCTCTCTATCACACTAAACTCTCTGACATACTCCACTCTCTCACCAACTACTCACACCACTCGCTCTAGCCACATACACTCCACTCTCCAAACACCCGTTCACACTTTCCTTTGTTTACTGCACGTCAATCATCTTCCTCACGCCCTTCTCTTTGCCTTACTCCTCCCCGTCTCCAAGAGCGACAGACAGACAGACAGACAGACAGACAGACAGACAGACAGACAGACAGACAGACAGACAGACAGACAGACAGACAGACACAGACAGACAGACACAGACAGACAGACAGACAGACAGACAGACAGACAGACAGACAGACAGACAGACAGACAGACAGACAGACAGACGGCTGGGACAACAACCCATTATAAACAGACATACAGACCGACTTCCATAAACACGTAGAAACAGGGGAGTCAAGCTTAAAGATAGCAATAGCACAGAGTGGCCTGCCCTGAGTGCCAATCTCCCAGCTTAAATGAACAATGCCAGCTATGTATGTGAGTGCCAAGGTCGGTGCCGAGCCGGACTCTGGAATTGGCCAGTTCCCGGCCATAGTTGCTTCTCGTCCCTGGGTCATTTTGCTGTATTGGGTCGTTCCAGCGAATCACAGACTGAGGCTGCTTGACTGTGTTAGGCCATGTTGATATTAATTCAGTTTCCTTCTTTTGAGGGGGTGGGGTGGAGAGCAGTCACCTTTTAGCAATTGCATTTTATGTTGCAATGCCGGAGAAGAGGGATATTAAGTTTGGGTTCAAGTTGGCCTATTGTGTGCCATATTGTCTTAAATTAAGACATTTTGTTCTCTTCTGTTATGGTGTACTAGTGAGACTTGGCAACAGTGTTTCATTGGTCATGAGGTATTTTGCCTAATTCTACTTTAAGCCGTTTTGTCGTGTGCACCATATTTCTTGGTTGATTTTTTTTTAATATACAGTTCCATGTATGAGTTGTGAATCTCTATTGTATCCCAGAATTCTCAAGATATAGATGGAATACTTGGCTCGTTTCTCCGCCAGTGTAGGCAGGTTAGGTTAGGTGAGGTGAGGTGAGGTGAGGTGAGGTTGGGTGAGGTGAGGTTGGGTGGGGTGATGTTAGGTTAGGTTATGTTTGGTCAGGAACATTAATGGGTCTTGCCAGCTTTCATTCTTTACATGGTTGGAAGACTCCATATAACTCTGGCCGTTTACACCTGGTGCTCTAGTTTCGAGTCATTGAATAGTGCTGCACTGCAGGTAGTGAACAGCAGCTTTTGGTCCAGTCAAGCTTTAGTCCTTCAGGGTATCGAATTTAGGCCGCTAGGGATCAAGTACTATGTCGCAGTCCGTATTCATCAACCAAGGCCAAACGCTCGTTAATCCTACCGCCAAAATCGCTTGTTTAGGATTGAAAAATTGTATACGCACTATGGCATTCGAACATTTCACCAACAGAGCCTCGCTGACGATCTCTATTCGAATCGTAACTCTATCAATGCTTCACTCACGTACTTTAAGCACAAATAATCGCCGACAGAACCTAAACACCTAATTTTACTAACGGCGTTATGCATTGAACATTATTCTATAATAATAGGAATTTATATAAAAGAATAAACCTATTTTTAATGCGCAATGCGTTAAAATTGATTAATGCGTCTTTGGGGAGGGCAGACGACCGCTGCTTTAACGAGCCTGGCCTGAGGACAGCTATATGTCCTCCTCTACAAATGATAGTGGACATCGTCAGTGTTTGTGAGACCTACAAGCATCCTACGCTACATTCGTAGAAATAAAGCTTCACACATACTTTCTTCAGTATGTGAGCTGAAGAAAGCTTCAGTTCACATACTGAACTTTGTGATATTCAGCGTTATCTTAGCATCAAGATTTTTAGATCAGAAGATCTAGATCTTGTTTTTTATGACGTTCCTCTACAGATCTGTAACGGTGTTTATGTAGGAACGACGTAAATGTATAGTGCTTGGTTGCCGTTATACAACCACTCCAGTCATCTTCAGTAACTTACTATGTACTGCAGTAACCCTGTAACCCTGTCTATGAACTGCAGTAACCCTGTCTATGTACTGCAGTAACCCTGTATATGTACTGCAGTAACCCTGTAACCCTGTCTATGTACTGCAGTAGCCCTGTAACCCAGTCTATGTAACACAAACAAGAATGTATGTTGGTTAACATTGTAAAAGAACTTCCGTTCACATTCAATATGGCTACGCTACGCCGGCGTCATACTCGGGGACCGGTAGTACACCTCAGACGTTCAACTGCCGATGAATTTTATATTAGATTTCAATCGTCATTTGGTTGATTACTCATTTTCACTAGTGTGTCAGAAGACTCAAGCTGCCGTCACTCACACGCTAATCTGAAGGCCGTATAATCATAATAAAGGCCTATACACCATCCTGTATATGCACATTTATACACATTTGGCCTTCATACAAATGCATATACTAGCCAAAACAATATACATTTATAAGAATTGGAGGTTCCCTTATCAATAAGCCATGTAACTCTATTTGTCGGAGTGAAGTTTGTTAAAACTTGAACTTGTGCAACGACCATGGAACATGGAACCTGTGGAACGACCATGAGCGGCTATTGACGGCGAAAATCGTCCAATACGTAGGAATAGTAATCAACCACTTGGACGGTCGGGAGACTGAACGCCGACCTTATATCCCAGCTTCTTGTCCCCATATCCCAGTTCCTAGTCTCCATATCCCAGGTCCTAGTGCTCATATGCCTACCAATTGTTTCAGTCATATGGAACACTTCCCCCTCATAGTTACGTTACCTCACAGCAGAGTTTGTTTATTCACACTTATCTCTGTTAGTATTAATTCCCATTTTAGCAATCCCACTTCCGAAGAATTTGAACAATGTGCAACACTTAGTTCCAGAATTACTGTTGAAGGTAAAGTTACAAAGCCTATGGTACACGTCTCTGCCACTAAAGTTTGGTATGTAAGAGTATTCTGGAAATATAAATCTGGGAATCGTTGCCACGAAGATCTGGTCTGCTCCACAAGTCT